GAAATTTTACGAAGTTACTTCCTCTTTCTTGCTGAACAGTTAGTTCAGTATGTGCTCAGGAAATGGGAACGTAAACCTAGAAGGGACATAATCTATTATAAATAGCCAATCTCACCCTCAAATGGCTTTATAAATTCTAGAGTATTATCCCCTAGTTAAGGAGCACGATTTTTACATGAGAATGACTTGGGCTAAAGTGCTGGCGCCTCTAGCTAAAACCTCTAAGTCTCAGTCTTCCCAACTGTAAAAAGGGGTGACACTCCTCCACTGGTTGTGAGGGGCCTGCTGGTGGAATACACGTAAGCACTTAACTCACAAACCTTCTTTTACCTGCTTGCCCTACAAGGCCAGACTTTATTAAAAAGCTCTTATTAGGGACGCCCGGATGGCTAAGTCATTAAGCGTCTGCTTTGGGCTCAGGTCAGGATCCCAGGATCCTGGGTTCGAGCCCCGCATCAGGCTCCCTGTTCAGCAGAAGGCCTGCTTCTTCCTCTCCCACTCCCCCTGCTTGTGTTTCCTCTCTCACTGTCTCTCTCTCAAATAAATAAAATCTTTTAAAAAAAAAAGTTCTTATTAAAGGCTTGGCAAAGTAAAGTAAACACAATGGACAAGGTCTTGGTTAATGAGAATAAATTAGTTCATGAATAACAAAGCTAAGAAAATACAGGTTAAGAAACCGGGAGGAAGGGGCACCTGGGTGGCTCAGTGGATTAAGCCGCTGCCTTCGGCTCAGGTCATGATCTCAGGGTCCTGGGATCAAGTCCCGCATCGGGCTCTCTGCTCAGCAGGGAGCCTGCTTCTCTCTCTCTGCCTGCCTCTCTGTCTACTTGTGATCTCTGTCTGTCAAATAAATAAATAAAATCTTAAAAAAAAAAAAAAAAAGAAACCGGGAAGAAGTAATTCCATCTACCATTGGGGAAAAAATAGGGTTGCTCTTTTTAAAAATGGATAAAAGAAGTCATTTATATAAACAGTCCCATAATCAAAATGTCTTTTTCACAGGAGAAAGCTTATATTAATTTCCTCTAAAAATCTAAGATAATCTCCCCACAACTGCACCCCAAAAAAATCAGAGGACTCGATTCCTATTTTCACACTCTTACCACCTCACCTGATTCAATAAAAAGCTTACAAAATGCTTACCCACAGTTCACCTGCAAAATGAGGTCTTCTCTTCTGAGACTGCATACTTTAAAAGGCAGGTAGCAAAACTACAACTTGAAGAACTCAGAAAGGTTCAACACTAACACCAGAAGTGGTCTCAGAACCAACACAAAGACAAAAGAGGGAAGTAAGTGCTAAAATAAGGACCAGCACTGTATTCAAGAATTCCTAAACCCTTTATTTTAACAAAGTAGTCCTACTTTTTCATTTACACTGCTCCTGGTACTTTACAAAGCTTTCATGTAGAACACCTGAGATAAAAGGTGAGGCTTAGAAAACGCAAGTAACTTTCCCAGGAAAGTGAAGTTGGATATTCCCTTACTTGTTCCTTTCCAAGGGCTGGCAAGAGCCTCTCCCTCCCCTGGTTTACCTGGTTGGACAGGTAATCCCTCAGGAGCAAATGACTCCCCATGTACTTGGCAAAACCATCAAGGATGTGTAATGACCATCTTTAGGTTTCCAAATTCAGTGTCATTTCCATTCGAGAAAGGGAAATACTTAGTGATCTGAAAGAACACAACTCTTCAGACATTGTGGAAAGCCTCTGCATAGATAAGGATAAGTACATAGTCAAATCTGGTATGATTGTTTTTGACCTGAGGACTTAGGTGGCCCAGTAAAGCCAATAATGTTTCCTCCCAATAGGAGTCATAAAATAACTGATCACAGCTTCAGTGTAAAAAACCACTGTCAGGAAAGCTTAAGATTTCTTACCTATTGTTATTTTTTGAAATTGTATTTATTTGACAGAGAGAAAGAGAGCACAAGCAGGTGGAGTAGCAGGTAGAGGGAGAGGGAGAGGGAGAAGCAGGCTCCCAGCTGAGCAACGAGCCCACTGTGGGGCTCAATCCCAGGACCCTAGGATCATGACCTGAGCTGGAGGCAGTCGCTTAACCAACTGAGCCACTCAGGCGCACCAGATTTCTTACCTATTAAATGGTAAGGAAATATGCAGATAGAACATTAATAAAAACAGTTAAGATTAAAATTCTACTTTCTAACTGGGAAGAAAACTACAAACCTAAGACTTTTCCAATGTAAGCCCAAAGAAAGTAGGATATAATCAAGATTTTTAAGAAATAGAAAATACCCTAGTTATTCCAATGAATGCATTACTAGATGGCCATGAACTTCTTCATATTTCAAGTGCCCTGTGTCTGAAATGGAGCCCAAGTTAGCTTTATTCACAATTCATTTGTTTACTACAGTCAAATATTTCTGATTTTCCTCTTCACGGAACTTGAAAAAAGAACCACTAACAAGGGGCACCTGGGTGGCTCAGTCGTTAGGCGTCTGCCTTTGGCTTGGGTCTTGGTCCCAGGGTCCTGGGATTGAGTCCCACATCAGGCTCCCACGGAGCCTGATTCTCTTCCTTCCTCTGCCCTTACTCCTGGTCATGCTCTCTCTCTCTCAAATAAATAAATTTTAGAGCTAGGATTAAAGTGAATGACAAAAAATAATCAGCAAAGCATCCTATTTCTTCACTTAAATGTCAGATAGTTCAATTTTTTATTTTAAAAAATACTATATACTGGTATGTAGGTAATAAAGTACAAACCAAGTAAAAAATCCAGATTACCACACTGATAATGTTTACTAATAACCCCAAATTTTATATACATGAAGGTCTCAAGAAGAAACCAAGGGGAAAAAAGAAAACCGATGAACTTTTAGTAAGTTTTCCCTGAACTATCAATACATTGAGAAACCTGAAAAACCCAAACATAAGAACCTCTAGCTTATAGCTAGGGAAACTTACTAGCATGTGACCTATCATCACTAGGGGAAGATTGTCTTTGCCAAAAGAGGATACTGAATAGTCAAAAATAAACAGTTCTTAATATACTGCCTTTTTTACTCAAATTGTCTTTTTCTAAATTAGATAACTTTAAATTAGACTTTCCCTCATCTTTTTTTTTTTTTTTAACAGACTTCTTTGGTTCTCTATTTTATCTACCTTAGACTTCCCAGACTCCATATCTATGAGCAAGTTATATTTCTGTTGTTTAAGCCACATAGTCTAATATATTTGTTATGATAGTCCTAGCAGACTAGTACCACTTTCAAACCAACAAAACAATTAGTAACAATTTTTCTGCTGTCCCAAACTTTTTAATTCTTACAAGAATTCCCTTAAAATAAACTTACTGCATGCCTACCTCCCAGCACTAGTGGTAATGTGAAAGCAAATTTCTAGCTAACTACTTCTAGAAAGAAGGCAGATACAATGGGTTTTCCCTGCTTATAAGGGGTTAGGAAAAACGTGCAAACATTTTCCAATAAGGAAGTGAAATTTTGAAATAAAATAAGAATCAGGCTTTAACTCTTGAAAAGAATGAGAAAAGAAAAAGAATAAACATCTACAACCCATTAAGTTCCTGAAAGTAACTTAAATCTGACTTCAAGTTGGCTCTCATAGTGGCTTTGGGTCAGTTGCCCAACTCTTCTATTACTCAATTTCACATCTGATGTTAGCACATGACTACTTATTAGTTAGCACTTTAAAGTCTTACTGGATGAAAGATGATGCGTCAGTCATGACTACAAGATTTGTGATTATAAAATTTACTTTTACAATACACAGTGCATCAAAGATACAATCTTGGTAATGAAAGAACGGGGGTAAAGTCCCAACATCATTTTATCATCTCAAAAGATGACTTATTATCATCACCACAATCTCAGATGTATTTGAGAAACACAAGAAGGGTTAAAAAGGGTACCAATGTTTGTAAAGGTGTACCTGGGTGGCTCGCACAGTTAAGCATCTGCCTTTGGGTCAGCTCATGAGCCCAGGGTCCTGGGATTGAGTCCCACATCAGACTCCCTGCTCTGCAGGGAGCCTGCTTCTCCCTCTAACCCTCCCCACTGCTTGTGCTCTCTCTCACACATACTGCCAAATAAATAAATAAAATCTTATATATATATATGTATATATATATATATATATATATATATGTTCGTAAAGAGCAAATACCGCTACTTAAAAAAAAAAAATTCTCATCCATTCAAAAGATGTAGAATTCCTAAAACCAAGATAATCAAGAACAAGTGGCCTTAGAATCAGTATCAAAGGTAGTCTTCCCATTCTTCAACCAAAAAAATCCAGACACTCCCAATAATGTGAACCTGAATTCTATTTTATATGTGCTCAGCTCATAAAAATCCAATTCTAGGTCCATCTAATTAAATCAGTACTCAAATTCAGTAAATCGTAACTACTTCGAGAAAGTTGCCTGTAATTATACTATTAGTTCTTCCTAGTACAATAAACAAATTTTGGAGAAGTAAATTTCGTTCATACACTAACAAAGTTAAAAGTACTTTAGGGGTGGGGTGCCTGGGTGGCTCAGTCGGTTAAGCGACTGACTCTTGATCTCAGCTTAGGTCATCATCTCAGGGTTCTGAGAAGCAGCCCTACATCTGGCTCTGCACTCAGTCAGGAGTCGGCTTGAGATCCTCTCTTGCCCTCTTCCTCTGCTCCTACCCCTGCTCACACACGCTTTCTCAAATAAATGTCTTTTTATTAAAAATAAATCTTAAAAAAAAAAAAATTTTAGATGTGCCTGAGTGGCTCAGTTGGTTGAACCTCCAACTCTTGGTTTTGGTGTGGTTCATGACGTCATGGTCATGGGATTAAGCCTTGCGTAGGCTCCCTGCTCTGTAGGGAGTCTGCTGAAGATTCTCTCCCTCTGCCCCTCCCCCCATCCTCATGCTCGCAAGCTCTCGCTCTCAAATAAGTAAATCTTTTTAAAAATACTTTAAACTTTCTTGAATTGCCATTTTATCCAGAGCTACCTTTTCAAATGATTCTTGGGTAATCTCTTAAAGGATACACTCTGTCATTGCTGCAACATCCAGTTTATCAATATCAGGTGAACCAGGACAACACTTCTTGAATTCTTTTCGAAGGTCAAAAAAGGAATAGAAGCATTCAGGCAATAATACATTCTGAGGAAGGACAAAAGTAGACACTGTTAACTAGATGAATTTAGTTCAATGCTTCTCTAATAATTAGAAACCTAAGAACTTAATGGCAGTATATTTTACCACAACTGAATTTTTAAAATCAAATATAAGAGTGACTTTATTTTCTGGTACAGTATTACATCCTATATACAAGTGTCATGGAAAAAATACCTTTTTTTAAGGTAACAGATTACATTTGTGTTCCATATGCATTCCATTTAAAACACTTTTGAAGTTATAATACATTTGGGCTGTCATGTATTTTCTGAGTGACAAAACTACACTCTTTTCAACCATAATCATTTCAGACCACCAGTATTTTCAGGCAGCAATATTAGCCCTTTTAGTTCTCATAAAGATGCCTTTGTTTACAGTATCTACCTAGACATAGGACTCAGTTACAAAACACAGTATTTTTAAATACTGGTTTCATATAATAAATATTTTCTGTACTGAAATCAGAGTAAGATAGTAAATTCCTGATTGCCTAAAAAGGATGATTTTTGTGCCAAGTTATAGTCCCACGTTAGTTTTCCTGGCCAAGATTCTGGCTATACCCGAGGAACCCAAATTAGGCTTTTTTTTTTTTTTTTAAAGGAAAGAAAAGAAAAATCACAAATCTCAAGAGCATGGGAGAAATAGTTACCTGCTGTTCTTAGCTACTAGCACCACTCTTGTGGTTATTAAGCTAGTTCAACTGTCTGGGAAAATACTACACACTATTATGTTTTTGTTTCCCATGGGGCAGGGGAACCCACATTGAATAGCTTTGAAAGATGATTTTTTTTAAAAACTAACTTAGGGGGGGCACCTGGGTGGCTCAGTGGGTTAAGCCTCTGCCTTTGGCTCTGGTCATGATCTCAGGGTCCTGGGATCGAGCCCCGCATTGGGCTCTCTGCTCAGCAGGGAGCCTGCTTCCTATATTCTCTCTCCCTGCCTCTCTGCCTACTTGTGATCTGTCTGTCAAATAAATAAATAAAATCTTTTAAAAAAAAAACTGAACTTAGATTTTTCTTACAATCTCAAAATAGTTTCTCTTTACTCACTGGGAATTTCTACTCATTTACACATTAAAAAGTCAAGGAAATAAAAGACTTTTCAGTGTTTGTAACCTATATAACATTTATGCAATGATTTCTCTTTCTATCCAGATTTCCTAACTGGGTTCTATTAGATATAGACCTGCTCTTGCTGTATTTATTTATTTATTTATTTTTTTTTAATATTTTATTTATTGATTTGACAGAGAGAGATCACAAGTAGACAGAGAGGCAGGCAGAGAGAGAGAGAGAGAGAAGCAGGCTCCCTGCCAAGCAGAGAGCCCGATGCGGGACTCGATCCCAGGACCCTGAGATCATGACCTGAGCCGAAGGCAGCGGCTTAACCCACTGAGCCACCCAGGCGCCCTCTTGCTGTATTTAAAATAGGTATCAGGGCACTGGCTGGCTCAGTCAGTAAAGCATGTGACTCTTGATCTCAGGGTTGTGAGTTCCAGCCCCATGTTGGGTGTTGGAATTACTACAAAATCTTTCAAAAATAAATAAATAAAATAGATATCATTGTACCACAGTCAGTTTCTTAAACAGTTACTAAGAAAATGGTGGATCAAGATTACCTACAAGAATGTTCATTTAAAAGCTAATGATGATGAGAATAACTTACATGTTCAAAAATAAAAGATTAAATAGTTGTATTCACTTAAAATACAGAACATTTAAGTCTTAAAAAAGATACTGTTGTTATACTAAACTATAAAGTAGGCTAAAAAGTGTGGTATGAGTGCTCTTTGTAAAAATGGGCTTTTCTACAAAAACCTGGAAGAATATTGTCAAATATATTCATATTAGAGAAAAACACTTCAATGTAGTTTCCTGAATGGCAAGAGTATTTTATGATTTTCTCTATTTTTTTTAATAAACAGAATTACCTTATGATACTAAATTAGTTTAAGAATACTAATTGTTTTAGGTTTCTTTATCTAAATCCTAGCAGAAATGACTCAGAAAAATGTCTCAATTATTCTCTGGAGGTTTTCCCACATTTAAAGCAGTCTATCTGAAATAAAACAGCTGTTTTCCCTCAGCACAACAGAAAAAGGATTAAGTTTTATCCCTCTCTATAGGAGTTTGAGGGGAAGAAAAATATCCTCATATATCTATTTCTGGATCAAGGGTGTAGCAATTGGTTTAGCATCTATTAATGAAAACCACTGCCCCTTTTTAATTGAATAATTACTAAAGTTGCTATAAAAGGAGTGGTTTCTCAAGACTCTTTAGAGGAACTTGAATTTCTCTTTCAGACTTTTGAAACTGTCATTACATATTTAATCTGTATCTTTCCATTTCTTCCCTAGTGAGGTAAAAAGAAAAATTTGCACTGCCTAGCCACTATACTTGTGACATCAACGTCAGTCTAAATCTTTCTTTGAAAACTTGCCTCATCTACTTTCTTTAAAAAAGTATTTCACTTCATCTTTTCAAGTTCAGTATTTGCCTACCACAATAAAAAGTTACAGCTCAAACTCATTAAGTTGATAAGATCAACTATATTAGCAATGATTGGCTACACTGGGTCTGCCCTCTACACTCTCCATTTTCCCTCAGCCCCTCAGTATTCTTCCCAGGGAGAGAAATCACGTATCTACAGTTAGGCTGTATTTTTCTCACACCATATGCTTTTCCGTATCAGAAAGACCAGCAAAGGTAAAAGATGAGGCTGAACCTACTGTTATGATACAAAATTTAATCAGTTTTGAACATTTACTTTAAGTCAAAGTGCAGTATGCTATAATTAATGTTTCACTAGTTATATGGCTCTCTTTACACAGTACAAAGCTCTTAAATGAAATCAGTTACAATTAAAAGGGTTTAATTCAACCTTATTCTTTGCTCCTTCCTAAGATAAAGCATTTTCCACACAGATGAAAATACCACAATGTCTTAAAATTTAAAAGTAAATGTTTTCTCCTGCTTACTGCTGTTCATTTAAAAAAGTCTAAAATTCAGCTAATGTACTTTGGAAAAGGGAGAATGTTAACCATCTCAAAAACTTAAACAAAAAGAGAAACTTTTATTAAGTCATCAGAGAGTATCTATAAAATTACTGCTATGTCAAACACCTCTACTGAAGGGTCATGAATTTTCTTTTTTGCAGTAAAATACACATAGCACGGTATTTACCATTTTAACAGGTAAGTGTACAGTTCAGTGGCATTAAGTACTTTCACATTGTTGTGAAACCATCACCACCCTTCCTTTGTCATCTTCTCAAGCTGAAATTTTGCCATCAAATAGTAACTCCCGACAGGCATCTTTTTAAAAATGGAGAAACTTGGATAAACCATTAAAAAAAGAAAAGAAAAACAAAAAACAAAAAACAAAAGCAGCCTCCAGTCTCCCCCAAAGGTCCAAACATTCTGAGAAGCCAGCACTCTTACCTTCTTGGAAGCCTCAGGATGCAGGATTTGTCTGACATGCAGCTGCCCATCAGTACAGAGACAGAAGGAGGTTCCAACCCCAATATTCAGTTCATTGCTTACTGACTGGTTAAACTGAAAACAAGACACAGGGAGGCAACTGATGCAGGAATTCCAAACTCTGGCAAAGTGGCCCCACGTGTTGATAACCAAGTAAAACCAAAAGGCCATATAAGGGGACACCAGTGCTGGAGCAATATTAGAAAGGCTACTATCTAGACTCCTTTAGATAGGAAAGCTTTCCAATCAACCCACATTTCACAGACAGGAGAATTTAGTATATACATTCTTCCTTCCATCCCCTCTCCTATTTTTGCAATAAATCCACATTCAAGACTTTTTAAGTCGGGTCTCATTTCATCAGCAGGTTGCCTTCAGATTACATCATTCCCTGGTGTTACTTTATGTTTGGACGTGTTGAGATTAAGAAAGATGCCAGTTTATGATAAACAAATGTGGTTAATGGGTATAAGGACCTCTGGAAAGTCTGGCAACACGTTTCCTGGAACAGAACCCAAAAATGGTAACTTACCCCTATTAATTCGCACCTTGTGTGCTAGGGCAGGGCCTTGAGAGGTCTGACCCTCACCTGCGCACAGGTGTGTAGCGCCCCGCTCTATCCCTGATCCAGTACCCGTCAGAACCACAAAGCAGCCGGTTTTTGGGTCACCTCAATTCCATTAAGAGGATTCCACCAGTTTCACAGTGACCCAACGAGCAGCCCTACATGTTCCGGCCTGCAAACCCACCCCGGCGGTAAAACCAAGGCCACTGAAGAAGAAAGAAGGCAACCAGAACCCGGCCTGTCCTAGTCCAGAAGCCTGAAACCAAGTAAGCACCGTCAGGTCCCCACCAAACTGGGCCACCTCTACTACGCCGCGCGGAGACCACCCGCTCCTCTACACCACAGCCACAGCGCCCTCTGTCCTAAGGCTGAACCACAGACCCAAACCCCCTCAAAGATCAGGAGCGTCTGGGGTCTAGCCCTGGGGACTGGGGCGCTAGGATTCAAACTCCGCTTATCATTCAATTGGTAAAACCCGACTGATTCCGAGACCCCAGGAATATCTCGAGAACTAGAAACTTTAGGCCCACGAACTAGGCGCTGGGAAGCTTGGAGGAGCAGCGACCTCCTCCCAAAAGGTCCACCCGGGCCCCCAGGCCGGGTTTCCACCCACGCGGCCGGGCGTCTCGCCACCCTGCCCGGGGATGCGCGTGGACCCGCCGGCAACGGCGTGGGACCTGGTATGGCTGCCTTGTGGGGTGGGGGGACACCTGAGCGGCCTGCATAAGGGTGGGGGACACGGCCCAGGGCTGTCACCTGTCGGAGGGCTTGGTCCAGCTGCGGAGCGGAGGACAGACTTTCCGCGTCGATCTTAGTTTCTTCTTTACAATCCTCCGTCAGCTCCAACTGATCCGGTCTAACTAGTACTTCATGCAACTGTCCCACCTCCAGAGGGGAAAGAAGCTGGGGTCAGTTTTCCCCTTCCTCAATTTGGAAGCCTCCATATTCACCCTCCTCCCTTGCTCCCTGCCCCGGCGGCCGGCGCCTCTCGTGGGGTCTGGCCGCAGAATCAAAGCTCACTTGTCGCGAGCGGCTCCAGTGGCAGAGAGGTCGGCACGGCCCTGCCTCCGGCCCCACCCCCACCCGGATCAGGTCGGAAAGGCCCGGGAAGTGGGAACCCGGGCTCCAGGGATTCCACCCCGGCTCTGCCGGGCGTCCCCCGACGCGCAGAGAACCTGGCTCGGCTGCGCCCGGCCTCCCCACCTGAGCCAGATTTCGGATTAGTGAAACGGTTCCAAAGCCGGTGGCCACCGCGTTTGGTTTTACTCTGGATTCCGTAGGCCTCGGGTCCAGCCTCACAAGTGGCCAAACAAGAACACTTGTTTACCGACTCCCCAAACTTCTACAGCAAACTTCTTGCCCCATTCCTATCATTTGGACAGGAACCTGAAGAAATACCTTCTTGTTGGCCAGATCCACGACTTTCCACAACAGCAGGATCAGCTCCTTCTCATCCGAGCCCAGCTTGGCCCCGGTGGCCCCAGCAGTGATCCCAAAAAGCACCACCAAGTAATCCGGAGACGCCGTCATGACGATAGGTGGGGAGGGGGAGAGGGGGGTTGGGAGGCGGTGAAGTGGGGTGGAAGTGAGAACGAGAAAACCTGTGCTAAAAATCTCTTCTAAGAGAAAAAGAAAGGGTGCCCACCCCCCTCCTCGCCGCCGCTAGTGCAAAAGGCGGCAACCTACCACCCAAGCCCACACCTGGCCGGTGCTCCCCACCCTGGGCTGCAAGGGGGGTGGGAAGGAGGGCGCCGGAGGCCTGCCCTTTTTGTATTCAATGGCCGGTGCGTCTATGCAAAAAGCCAGGAGCAGGGCTGCACCCCGGGTGGAGCGCGCAATGGCTGAAAGCTTTTCTGTTTTGGGATGTGGCTCTACCTGCCCGCCCCTTCCCCCTCCCCCACGTGGTGCAGGTAAGAGACACCTGGCGGCGCCGGCCCATTGGCTCCTTCAAACCACGACGTGGCAGCGGTGGGGGAGGAGGCCGCCTGGGGAAAGGGGAGGAGGGGGCGGGAGACAATGGCTGGATGAATGAATAGGGGAGGGCGAGAAAGAAGGAGGGGGAGACGTGAGGGGCGGGGAAGAGGCGGTTGCCACCTGAAGGGTAGCCTAGGCCAGATGGGAAAAGGGTGAGGGGTGAAAGGCGCGGAGGGCAGTGCGGGAGTCGGTGGTGGTGGTGGTGGTGGTGGTGGTGGTGGTGGGCTGGGGGGGGGGTCACCCCTTCTTTGTAGGTAATGGAGAGGGATGGAGGGGCAGGGAAAAACGCCGGCCGTGGGGAGCGACGCCGAAGCTTCTTTTAAAGGGTCAAGGGAAAAGGCCTGGCGCCGGGAAGCGAAAGGAGGCCAGAGGTGAAGCCCTGGGTGCGGAGCTACTCAGGGCGCGGCGCCGGGACAGGGCAAATCGCCGGGGGGGAGCCACCGGCCAACGGCAACCGGAAGGTGGCGGGGGCAGATGCCAAACACCGGAAAAACCGCTCCCGACCCCAACACACCTTTAAGTGCAAACTGTAAGCGAAACCCCGTGGGCCCTCCCCCTCTCCCGGCCGGAGCCCAGGCGCACGCTCCCTGCTCCAAACCCCGGGACGCTGCCCACGTTCAGGAGACAGAGCCAGGCGCCCGGGGATCACACTCAGCCGCCAAGTTTCGCTCAAAGACGCAGGTGCAGCGCGCTACGAGGAAATTGAGGCACAATGGACCCCACTTCCTTGTCTCCCAACTACTCCCTTAAACTGCTATGTCTTGTTCGGTCCTGGCTGCTAGTTGGGGACTAGAACCTTCTCCATGGCTGGGCCCACTTCCTTTGGTTTGCCCGAGGCTCTAAAGAAAACGTACACACTAATGCTTTCCTGAACAGGCCAAAGCAAATGTTTTCCTCAGTTCCCGCTCTGACCCCACGCCCCCTACTCATACCTTTTCCTTTGTATTTCTGTGTCTGCTTGGCCAACCCGCAAGCACTCCCCCTCCTCTAGCTAAGCTACGTCTGCACCGAGGCTTAGACGCCCACCGTGACCCCCCCAGCCACCAGGTCGGAAGGTGACGTGGTAGGGCCTTTAGACGTGTGAGAGAAAAGCTCCAGAGGTGACGTTTCCTCGAGTTTTAGGTTTCAAACGTATCTACTCTCGGAAACCGAAATCCGTCTGAGGTACTACTAGTCGGGCCCCAGGTATCCACCCTTTATATTCATGGTGTGAAATCAGGCAAGCACACACACCGCAGGAACCCAGCCGGGTGCGAATCTGGAGAACCTGTCAGGATGCGCGTCTGGAGAGGATGAAGATCGCGCTTCCCCAACCCCGAGCAAGCGCAGGCGGAGCGGGCAGCCGCCGAGGATTCGGGCGGCGGGAGGGGGCGGGGCGGAGTTGGAGGAGCCCAGGGACTAGCTGCGGCGCTTCCCCGCAGGACGGTGCGGGCGGAGGCGCTGCGGCCGGCGGCAGAGGTAGCAGCTCGCGTCCCGGGAGAGCGGGAGGAGGCTGGGCTCTGGCGGGGCCCGGCAGCGCTCAAGGTACCACGAGGGTGCTCGGTACCATCCTCGTCTGCGGCTCGAGCTCCAGCGGCGCGTGCTTTCCGCACCCGGGCTTCGGGATGCGGGGTGGGAAAGGGGCCCCCGCGGTCCAGCGGCCGCCTCGCCCCCCACCCCCGGTCCGCGTGCGACGCTCCCCGGCCCGCAGGCGCCGCGGGGGCAGGGACTGGGCGCGGAGCGAGGTTGGGAGGGACCTGGAAAAACCACCCAGATTGCATTGCAGTGGGCGAGGCCGCCCGGAGGAGCCGGTTCCCCGGAGCCGCCTCCCCGCGGGGCGTTCGCGGAGCGAGGTTCCCAGGTGCTTGGATTTGCCTGGGCCGGGAGGTTTTGCCTGGCGGGGACGCGGGGCTCGGTTGCGTGGTGGCCCACGCCCGGCGGATCAAGCGCTCGCGACGACTGCGAGGAGGGCCAACGCCCGGCGGCCGACGGTGGCTGAGAAAGTGGTTACAGCCGCTCGGGAAGTCCTGCGTCGCCAGTCCTCTGTGGCCTCTGGTACTTGGATTAATCATTTGTGCAGTGCGTTTGGATCAACTGAGAACTTTATTTTCCGCTCGTTTATCAGGGATCCCGCGGCGCTGTCCCTGTTAGAATCCAACCCCAGAGCCTCTCCTTTTCAGAGACTCGTCTTCCTGTTTAAGGAAGTCGGATCCCCGGGTTCTGAGGTTTTTCATTTAAATTTGAATGTGTACAACTAGGTTACAAGGACAGGGATTTTGTTTTGTTCCGTAACGTATTCCCAGGGTTGGAACAGAGCCGGACGTACACTAGGCACTCAACAAATATTTGTTGAAAGATTTTAATGAGTAACACCCACCCATTTTTGCAGCTCTTGTTTCCTAGCGAGGGCAGAGTTCATCACTGAGAAGGCAAAATTCTGAAAATGGGAGTCTACAGGTAATTTAAGACTCAAGTATTTAAAAAGAGAGGTGCTAATTCTTCGACGCACAAACCTACTTTTTTTTAAATAAACTCGTAAAATGCAAGAATGCCAAGGGTGGGGGAATCTATGCAACACTGCAGTTCTGAATACAAAAATGATTTACTGTCTATCCCACCATTTAGAATAATTCTAACATTTAAATATGTGATTCACACAGTAATAATTCTGGGAGGGACCTTGAAGGGTGTGGGTCACTCTACCTATGGTCTTCACTCAAGATCACACTTAAAACTCCCCTAACGAATGAGAATCTTTTTGTGGTGTGTGTGGGTGTGCTTAGCAGCGGAGACCCAGTTGTGGGACACGCTACGGAATATCTTGCCTGTATTCATGAAAATTAAGGTTATCAAGGACAAAGACTGAAGAACTGTTCTATAGGAAAGGACTTTATGAGACATGACCACTAAATGCAGCATGAATCCTGGACCCGGAACTTTTATTCCCCCCCCCCCCCCCACCCCCGTCGTTTAATGGACATTATTGAGGCGCGCCTTGGTGGCTCAGTGGGTGCAGCGTCTGCCTTCTGCTCCGGTCTTGATCCCAGGGCCCTGGGATGGAGCCCCTAATCCGGAACCCTGCTCAGTGGGGAGTCTGCTTCTCCCTCTGCCCCTCACCCTGCTTGCACGCTCTCTCTCTCTCTCTCTCAGATAAATAAATAAGATCTTTTTTAAAAAATGGACATTGTTAAGATAATAGGAAAATTTGAGTAAGGTCTGTAGATTAAATAATAGCATTGTCTTAGTGTTAATTTCCTGATTTTAATATTACTGTGGTTTGGCAGGAGAATATCCTTTGTGTTAGGAAATACCCACTGTTTAGGGATAAAGGGAATTATGTATATAATTCTGCTCTCAAATTATTATAAATATATATATATGCATATATATATGAGAGAAAATGATAAAGCAAATGTGGCAAAATGTTAACATTGGTGAATCTGAGTGAAGGAATTTTTTAAACTATAATTTGCAACTTTTAGAAGCTTTTTAAAAAATTTTAGAGGACTTTTTGCTGCCACAACCATTTGGCTTTTAACAAGGCTCTGTCGTGATTTTCTATGCTAACCTAACCCTTCTTCCTTTAGAATGAATAAATTTTTTTTGTCTTTTCCTTGCTGAAAGAAGGAAATAAATAAAAGTCATCACATTTTTTGGTATAACAATCCTCTTGAATCCTTTAAAGTTGCACTTAAATAACTTTCCTAGACTAAATTACTGCAAGATCCTGAAGCTTTCGTTGTGAACCTTTTCTACTTTTAATTATCTTCATTACACTCCTTGGACCCTTTTCTTTTTGTCACTTTTAGAGAACAGCTCTTGAACTGGACAAAATTCAGATGTCTCTACCATGGCCTGACCATTGACACAGTGGTATCTCTATGAGGGAGAGAGAGAATCTGAAGCCAACTCTGCCAACTGTGGAGCCCAAAGTGGGGCTTGATCTCACAATGGTGAGATCATGACCTCAGCTGAAAGCAAGATTCAGATACCTAACTGACTGAGCACCCAGGCACTGCTCTATGGCACTTTCTTATAACTTGTAATGCAGTTCCCTTTTTAAAGACTATAGTAGTAGCACTACGTTTGCTGGCTCCAGTTTTGTTTGAGATCTCTAGATCTTTCTTGGAGTTCTCAATTGCACACACATACCTAGCTATTCTCTTATACTCGTAAGAAAAGAGTTTTCAGGGGATGCCTGGCTCATTAAGCATCTGCCTTCTGCTAGGGTCATAATCCCAGGGTCCTAGGATCAAGCCCCATGTCACGCTCCCTGCTCAGTGGGGAGCCTGCTTCTCCCTCTTGTCTGCTGCTCCCCCTGCTTGTGCCCTCTCTCTCTGACAAATAAATAATAAATCGTTTTTAAAAGGATTTAAAAAGTAAATCGAAGTTTGGGTCTTTGAACTCTGAATAGACATCATGAGCAAATCTCACCCTCCTGAGTTGAAAAAAATTTATGGACAAGAAATTATCATTGAGATTAAATGGTGGCAGACATGTCCAGTGAATATTGTGGGGATTCGACCCCTTTATAAATCTTGTGATGTAAGTGTGGTGATGGCAACTCATGGGGGAACAAGAATATTGGAATAGTGGTAATACAGTGAAATAATATCATTGTATTAGAAGCCTCGGAACAGGTATAAGCAATGGGTGTGTTCACTGGAAGAAATCAGCTGCTGCCACATGTCCCTTCTACATAGCACCCGTTTTACTGCAAAATAAAAACCAGGTCATGTGCCTTTTTATATTGAACTTTTTTGTTAAATCAACTTTAGTAATAAAGTGAATTGAATGTTCTTGAATTAGAGTGGCAATGGTTAGTGGTGAATATACTAAAAACCACTGAATTGTACACTTGAAAAGGATGAATCATACACTTGAAAAAGGTAAATGAGAATTAGATCAATTTTTTTTAAAAAAACGAATCAATGGGGACGCCTGGGT